TGTGATACATCCATACAATGGAGTATTATTCAGCAGTTAAAACAAATGAGCTATCAAGCCATAAGGACATGAAGGAACATTAAATGCATATTGCTACATGAAAGACACATCTAAAAAGACTACATATTATATAATTCCAAGTATAAGACATTCCGGAGAAGGCCAAACTATAGAAATAGTATTAACAGATCAGTCCTTGCCAGAGGTTTAGGGGGAATGGTATAGGGTGAGCACAGGATACTTTTAGGACAGTGAAATTCTTCTTATGATACTATAATGGTAGATACCTAATATTATGTATAATACAAAGATGAACTGTACTCTGAACTCTGAACTTTAATTAGGAATAATATATCAATATTGATTCATCAATGGGAACTAATAGACCATACAAATGCAAGATGTTAGTGTAACAGCCCAGCAGCTGGTCTTAAGGGTTGACTTGCTTCAAGTTAACACGCTCCTTACTTGGTGACCTAAGTCCCTTGATCTGCAACAGACTGATTTACTTTCTTTGAGATTTGCAGACCACTGGCCTTGAGGAGTGAAGGACCAGAACTTGCCCAGGCCACAGAAGTCAGCAAGTCTGTTTGAAGCAGTCTCGGCTTTCTGATCAGCCCGGCAATTTTTTTTAGCAAAATGTTTTTCGTTTTTTTGGTCACACAAGTGATTTTACTGACCTCCCTTTGTATATCTGTAGATGTTGCCTTCCTTTTCAGAAAGAACAGAGTACTCCTGCACATCACAGAACAAGAACCAGACCCCCCTCACACAATTCCCTGGCACTAAGATAACTTTTGTAGCTGGTATCGTGGAGTCTGCACATAATCAAGTATTGTTGCAGGCCATTGCACTCCCTTTGCTGATTAACTACCCTATACCCCTTAAGAGACCCCTAAGCCGGGCAGAACCCTTGGAGTTGGCTTTTGAACAAGAGTCCACCTCTGTCTCAGGTTGCCAGCTTCCTGAATAAAGCTCAAATTCCTTTCCAATCAAAAACTTGTCTCTTGAGTAATGGCCTTTCCAGGGACTGGCAGCCGAATTTGGGTTCCGTAACATTACTAATAGGAAACTGTAGGAGGGGTGAGGGTGTGGAAGAGGCAGGTATATTAGAACTTTGTACTTTCTGTGCATTTTTCCTATAAGCCTTCAAGTGCTCTAAAAATAAAGTTTATTGAGTGAAAAAGAAAAAAACTCTTGCAGTAAGGGAGGTGACTACTGCAATGGGAGAGGGTGACTATGGCCTTAGGGAAACAGCTCTGATCTTAAGATCTACAAATGTCTGAAAGATTAGTCACAAAAGTGTGTGTGTGTGTGTGTGTGTGTGTGTGTGTGTGTGTGTTTATTTATAAATAGGAAAGAGCTCACAGAGTAGGCAGTTAGGAGCCGGTGATAAATAGGTGACACATTAGAAGCCTGAGGGTACAATATCCTGACTTTGTGGCTTTAACAACCTGGCCTTAGGGCTTCCAGCACTCCAGGGCTGACAGACCCAGAGCCACAGGTGCAGAACATGCCTCTCCTCTTCAATCTCTGCCCCAGGGGTAACCTATAGCTTCGTCATAATTTATTTAAACTGTGGTTTCAAGACATCCACCCCCATGGGGGAAGGTGGCCAGGGTAGTTGCAACAAGAACCTTGTAGGGCCAAAACTCCCCCTCCGAAGTGGCAGGAGGAGTCCCTTAGATGATTAGAAGCAACCTCTGTTGGAGAGTGTTTTAACTGATGTGCTTTTGGAATATAGTGAGGTTTGGTGGGGTGAGGTCTGGAGCCCACGACCAAGAAAGAATTCTTGAGACGCCTTCGGTGCAAAATGGTGGTTTATTAAAGCACAGGGACAGGAGCCATGGGCAGAAAGAGCTGCTGCACCGGGGTTGTGAGGGGTGGCTGGTTATATACTTGGGAGTTGGGGGCTGTAAGGAAAAGGGAGTTTTCAAAAGAACTTTCAAATGCTAAAGAGGATCTACAGGATACAGAAGGCCCTGCCACTGTCAAGCTACGGTTGCTTTTCCCTCTAGCAAGGCATTAGCATTAAGATAGTTGGGAGCTTCCTGGAAGAATGTCACACATATGCCACCCAGGAGTTGGGAGGGTGTCAGTTTGTGCTTTGTCCTCAGCTAGCCTTCTGTTCCCTCATCACTATGACCCATAACCTTCTTTTTACGTTATATTGTTTTATGTTTTATCTTTTTATGGATAAAAGAAAAGACATCCTTAACCCCGGTGCAGTTACCACTTCTGGGCCTGCCAACTCTCCCTTCTCCAGAGTGTACTGTCCTTAATAAACTGCTTTGGGCTTGCTACTTTCCTGCTTGCGGTTTTTACTGGAGCGTAGATCCTCACGTAAATCTTTTGTGGATAATCCAATAATCAACACCTCCATTTACACAATGTAGACTCTCCCACTGGTAACAGAGCAATGAAAACTAAAGAGAGGGTTCCTGGGTGGTTCAGTCCGTTAGGCGTCTGCCTTCAGCCCAGGTCATGATCCCAGGGTCCTGGGATCAAAGTCCCGCTTCGAGCTCCCTCTTCAGACTGGAGTCTGCTTCTCCCTCTCCCTCTACCTGCCCACTGCTTGTGCTCTCTCTCGGTCTCTCAAGTAAATAAATAAAATCTTAAAAAAAAAAAAAAGAAAAAACTTAAGAGAGAAACTCATTTTTTTTAATGGAGGTGTAGACAAGGCAAGAAGGAACTGGGTGTCAGGAGCAGGGGAGTGGATGGCAAGATCAGGAAATATCTTTCCTTATTGTCAGCCAAGTTTTGAGAGGGATTGTTTGGCATTCCTATACTTGTTTAAACTTAGGAGTAAGTCAAATTTCAGGGTCCCGTGGGGGGAGAAGAAAAATTTAGTCAAGTAAAATTTACAGATATTTTATTCTGATTGGTCATGGGGACAAATGGTTTGGCTGATCATTTATGAGACAGAATGGGAATGTGGTGGTTTTGTGTCTGGTTTTGTCATAGGTAAACAAGGGGCCTGTGGTAAGTCTTAGTAATATGGAAAAAGGTGGTTCTTTGCCATTTAACAAAAGACCACAAAAGAAATCAAAATAGACAAGTTTATTACTCAAGGCCTTGAAGCCACGTGGGAAGGTCAAGGCAGGCTGCAGGCAGAGAGAGGGAGGCATCACCTGGGGCACAAGCCTTTATTGTGTCTTTGAATAAAATGCTTTAGGGCTCCCAGGGTAAGGCTGGATTGGTCAATTCGAACCAAAAAGCTGGGTTGGGGAGAGGGTGGGGGGGGTTGGTAAACACCCCAAAGATACGGGAGCAAAGACTTATGGGAAATGTAGTTTTCACTCTGGTGTTGGACTTCTGGGCTGCTTTTGCGCATGTTCACTTTCACTCCGCATCTGTAAATTGTCTTTGCCCAGGGTACACCTTTGCGTGGGTGGCGCTTCCAGGGTCGCGGAGTGTTTGCACTCCCTAGGGGCCAGTACTACCGGCTAGGGGAGTGGCGGGTGAGTCCCTGAGGGTTGGCAGAGGGCCAACAAGGGTCCGTAGGGCTCAGGGGTGGCAGGGGGACTGTAGAGGGGACCCCGCAGCGGGACCTCTGGCACTTGAGCCTGCCCGGGGCGGATGGGGGTGGCCTCGGCCTGGAGGAGGAAGGAGCTGACGTCTAGCGTGGGGACCTGGGCGCAGGTCCCGGGAGGTTGCAGAATCCGTGCGCAATGTCGCGGCTCCTGCCGGAGCTCTGTTCAAGTTACTGAGCAACTCTGGGAATGACTTTCAGTTTCCCGTTGTGCAGAGTGAGAATAATTTAATACCTGACTGAGACTGTTGGTTTAATACCAACTTGCGGTGGTTCTGCGCTGTTAACATATATGCTATATATATTTAGATTTTTGTCATCAAGAGATCTCACTTCCATATTTGAGGTAAGTTGGCTGTTTCCATGTTAAGAGAATAGGAAAACTGAGGCTCAAAGGCAAAGTGATTTACCCAAGATCATACAGCCAGCAGCGGTGGGAATCTAGTTTTTGATCTTTTTTTCTCTCCATCTCATGTTCTTTCTAATAAACTGCCCTGCCTAAAACCCAGCATTGTTATTCATAGCATTGAGCATTGATAGTGTCTTTACAGAATCCAGGAGAATAATTGTGAAGTATATGGGGACTGAATAATTTCTTGGCGCTTGTGTTTATAGGATTTTTTATTATTCTTCAGGCAGCACAGTTTCTGGGCCAGGTCTGCCCTGTCTAGCTTTTGTCTTTGGAGGCCTTCATTTGAGTTTGTAGATGGCCAAGCCCTTGATTTTTGGGGAAAGTATGACCTGAGAGTCAGATTGGGAGTCCTGTTTGAAAGTTCCAACCATGTTTAATTTGTCCCCATGGCTCAGGTCCCAGCTCTTTTAAAGAAAAACAGCTCTTGAGGTAAGAAAGAATAGTCCCCAGGAACCTCACCTGGAAGATTACTCCTTGGTCTGAGTGAGACCTCTCACCAGAGCTCCACACAGAGACAGAAGGGTCCCAGGAGAGACTATATCCTAAAACTGACAGGACAAAAGTAATTCTTGGTCCTCCTACAGAATGAGCAATGCTTGGGTGATGTCACCTTAACCAGAAGTCATTGCAGGCTGTCCATTGATCAGCTTTAAGAACTGAAATAAGGCTAGCAGCATGAGCAAAGGGTAGGCGGCACAGCTGGGGGACCTCACCGGAGGCTTGGTGAGGACACAGTTCGGGAAAAGGAATCACCAGCCACAGAAGGAGAAATTGCCCTTCTTGTTCACTCTCATCAGCCACACTCCCTTTACTCTGCGCTCGCTCTACAACCTAGAGCAGTGTATCACTGCTCCTTCTTTTCTGACAGTAAAAAATCAAATAACTAATGTATAGACTTTGAAGATTTTATTTATTTTTTTAAAGATTTTATTTATTTATTTGACAGAGAGAGACAGCGAGAGCAGGAACACAAGCAGGGGGAGTGGGAGAGGGAGAAGCAGGCTTCCTGCTGATCAGGGAGCCCGATGTGGGACTCGATCCTAGGACCCTGGGATCATGACCTGAGCCAAAGGCAGCCGCTTAACGACTGAGCCACCCAGGCACCCCTAGACTTTGAAGATTTTAAAGTTTTGCCTTTATTTAAGAGGTGAAAAAGAAAGAGGACCAAAAGGTAAGTGACTTGTTTAGAGTCACATGATTTATTAGTGGCATGCCCAGAGAACTCCTTGCTGTCCCCCATTAACAAGATCTTTTTGAAAAACCATAACCAGGTTAGAATAAACAAAGTACCCCCATCGCTTTTCAGGGGATGCTGATGAGGGGATGCTAACCCAAGGGCCAAACATTGTTACTAGGCATGCAGAGAAATAAAGGCAATGTCTTCCCTGTATTGTTCTTTGTTTAATTAGTTCTTAGTACTTTTTACTTTTTTTTTGGTCACTAGAGGGGAAGATAAATTCTTAGTAGGAAATTAGTCGGAAATGTTTACATTCATTCAACGAAAAACCGCATTCTAAGCTCTCTGTGAGCAGAGTCAGCATAGACACCGGGTGCTCCTCCACAGGCTCTGTCGTGCCCTTAGAGTTGGAGGACCCAGCCCACAGGGGCTTTGTATGTAGCTGCTGTGTGTGTGTGAAGTTTGCTAGGCAGGTAAGCCTGAGAACTGCACAGCTCACCTGGTTGCACAGGACCTCATTTTCTTACCTTCTTTCCCAGCTTTATAGTTCTCTTCAGTTTTCCAAGAGCAACAGGAAATGAACGAATCACAGGTGAGTTTATTCCTGCTTTGTTTCACTGTGGATTTTGTGAGGTTTGTAAGGGAACAGAAATTAAAATAGAAAAATAGAAATAGATGAAAATCAACATCAGAGACCCTATAGACTATCAGGTCAAGAGTTGAGTAAAGTCAGCATATAGATAAATTCTGGTCTTATAAAGTCCCAGAGTTACCAAATTTGAACTGCAAGTTTGCCTTCTAATCTTTCTGACAGCAGAGGAGAACCAGAGGAAAAAGAGTCTTTTAGGGCACTAAAACACTGGCACTACTGTAACAAATTATCAGAGACTGACGGCTTAACAAACACTTATTTCTTATCGTTCTGGAGTCTGGTAACTCCAAGATCAAGATGCCAACCTATTTGGTTCTTAGTGAGGACCCTTATCCAGTTTGCACATGGATCTCTTCTCATTCACATGGTGGGGAGAGAGTAGGTGGCGGGGGGACACAAGTGTTCGGTTCATAACAGAGTTCGAGTACATAATTTTCTAATGGTCTTGCTTGGTCCAGCGGTATAGAATATCTGGAAGAAGGCTGAATGGCCTATGTGTCCTTTAAATAGCTCTGCATAAATATTTCCCTCACCTAGACTGTGGCACTATGCGTGTGACTGCTACTTAACCTTGCTTACTTGTCAGCACTTGGTGTTGTCAGACTTTAGACTTAGTGCCAATCTAACTTCTGAGAAAAACTCATCATTTTAATTTGCATTTCTGAGATTACTAATGAGCTTGTACATCATATATTTATTGGCATTTTTAAAAAATATTTTATTTATTTGTTTGACAGAGAGAGAGCACAAGCAGGGAGAGTGGCAGGTAGAGGGAGAGGGAGAAGCAGGCTTCCCGCTGAGCAGGGAGCCTGATGTGGGACTGATCCCAGGCCCCTGGGATCATGACCTGGGCTGAAGGCAGACGCTTAACGACTGAGCCACCCAGGTGCCCCTATTTATTGGCTTTTCATTGCTTTTGTGAATGACTTCATTTTTAATTTTTCTATATTAATTTTTAAGAATACTTGATATATTTTGGACAGTAATTCTTTATTATATTTGTTGTGAACTTGTTCTCCAACTCTGTCCCTTGACCTTTACCTCTACAGAGCCTTTGGCCTTATTAGAGTTTTATATATATATATATTTTTAAAGATTTTATTTATTTATTTGACAGAGAGAGACACAGCAAGAGAGGGAATACAAGCAGTGGGAGTGGGAGAGGGTTCAGAAGCAGGCTTCCCACTGAGCAGGGAGCCCAATGCGGGGCTCGATCCCAGGACCTGGAATCATGACCTGAGCCGAAGGCAGACGCTTAACGACTGAGCCACCCAGGCGCCCCTAGAGTTTTATATTTTTACTTAGACCAATCTTTTGATCTTTTCCATTTTATTTATTTTTCAATTTAAAAATTTTTCCCTAACTTAAGATAATTTAATATTTAAAATTTTAGTTTGATTAATATTAATACTATTAAAAATATTTAAGCCTTGAACCAATGTGGAAATTGTTATTGTAGATAATATGAGGAGGGAATCTAGTTTTACCTTTTAACACATGAAGTACCAGTTCTTTTTTTTTTTTTTTAAGATTTTTTCATTTATTTGACAAAGAGAGACACAGCGAGAGAGGGAACACAAGCAGGGGGAGTGGGAGAGGGAGAAGCAGGCTTCCTGCGGAGCAGGGAGCCCGGTGCAGGCCTCGATCCCAGGACCCTGGGATCATGACCCGAGCCGAAGGCAGACGCTTAACGACTGAGCCACCCAGGCACCCCAGTACCAGTTCTTTACTAATGTTTTTCTCAATGAATTATAATGCCACAGCTATCCCGTATATTACTGTGTCTGCATACGTCTGTTTCTGGCCATTCTAATTCATTCCATTAATCCTTAATTCATTCTTCTTTAGGTTCATCTTGTCCTTTCTCACCTTTTTTCTGTCCTACTGGATGAAACCTGGCATCCTTACCTTGTGCCTGGTTTTCAGAGATTACTTAGGAAGTGTTAGCAAACACTGGCATAGTCTCTTTGGGTTTTGGTACACACCAGTTACCCCATTAAGTAAGTTTCTTCCTAAACCTTAAGTTGTAAATGTCCATTACACTTAGTAGTTTTTCTAGATCCCATAAGGATTGATTTGGTTACTAATTTGATTTCTTAGATGGTATAGAGTTTTTTTCAGGTTTTCTGAACTTCTTGGTTCAATTTTGGGCACATTTATTTAAAAAATTGTAACTTTTTTTAAGTTTTCCAATTTCTTTGCATAAGTATGTTTAAAAGACTTGACTTAAAATCTTTAGTGAATGCTAATTTTTTTATTACTGTGAATGCTAATTTTTTATTCCAATTTTTATCAGTTATTAAATTTCACTTTAATGTAGAAGCTGCTGATTAGAAATGGAAAAACTGTAGTCTGGCTAGTCATATATCTGAAAGCCTAAAGTTCTAGCATGTGGATATAGGATTGATATTTTCTTTTTTTTTTAAGATTTTATTTATTTATTTGACAGAAATAGACAGCACAAGTAGGCAGAGCAGCAGGCAGAGGGAGAGGGAGAAGCAGGCTCTCCACTGAGCAAGGAGCCCGATGCGGGGCTCAATCCCAGGACCTTGGGATCATGACCTGAGCCGAAGGCAGGCACTTAACCAACTGAGCCACCCAGGTGCCCCAGGATTGATATTTTCAGATGGTGATAGCATTCTTGAAATGCTTTGCCAGGAGAGGACACAGAGTTGCCGTAGTGATGCCAACCATTAATATATACCAAGCTGTCATGGTTTTATGTATTTTTTTTATCTGTGTGTGTGTGTGTGTGTGTGTGTGTGTGTGTGTGTGTGTGTTGGGTAATGCATTCACATTGGAAAAGTCAGTACAATACAAACAATATAAATAGAAGTGAATTCACACTCCGATGTCTGTCTTTCACTGCAACCTCCTCTTGTAATTTAGGGAACAAATTTTGTGTATGTGTATTTTCTCCATTTTTTTAAATGCAGAGACAAGTAAATGTGATTTTATAGCTATCTGGGTAGATAGATATAGGTATGTATATAAACTATGTACACGTAAATATGCATTTCTACCTTTTTCTTGTATGTATTTATATGTATATATGTGTGAATACATATATACATGTGTATTAATGCATGTATATATATATGTGTGTATATATGTATGTACTTATTTTTAATCCTTCTTAGCCAAAGAATATAAGCATACCGTAAAATAACCTGTTCTTCACCTTAATTTTTGCATTTAAGAATATATACTGGAGATATTTTGAAATTAGTACATAGTAAAATTTATGTAGTTTATTTAAAATTTTTTTTATAGAGATGGAATTCACCTTTTTAAAGTGTTCAGTTCAGGGATGCCTGGCTGGCTCAGTCTGTAGAGTGTAGAGCATGTAACTCTTGATCTCAGGGTTGTGAGTTTGAACCCCACATTGGGTGTAGAGATTACTTAAAAATAAAACCAGAAGGAAGGGAGGGAAGGAAGGAGGGAGGGAAGAAGGAGAAAGAGTTCAGTTCAGTGGTTTTTAGTATTTTCACATAGTGGTGCAGTCATCACCAGTATCTTTTTTCAAAACATTTTCATCATCCCAAAACAAGACACCATACCCATTAGTAGTTACTTTCCTATTTTGCCTCAACTCCAGGCAACCACTGATTGACTTTTTGTCTGTATAGATTTGCCCATCATGGATATTTCGTATAATCTGAGGTCTTTTGTGTCTGGTGTCTTTGACAGCATAATGTTTTCAATATTCATCCTTACTGTAGCATGTATTAGTACTTTTTTTTTTAATGGCTCTCTTATGTTATACAGATATATCACATTTGGTTTATCCATTATTTTGGACATTTGTGTTTTTCCCACCTTTTGTCTATTATGAATAAAGCTGCTTTGAACATTTATAGACAAGGTTTTGCATGAACATACGATTTTATTTTATTTTATTTTTTATTTTTTTGAACATATGATTTTAGTGCTGTGAGTATATGCTTAGGAGTGGGAGTGGAGTTGCTGGGTCATATGGTAAGTTTATATTTAACTTTTTGAGGAACTACCAAACTGTTCGCTAGAGGGGCTGCATAATTCTGCATTCTAACCAGCAATATATAATATAAGCATTCCAATTTCTCTATATCCTTGACTCACTTGTTATTGTTCATCTTCTTTATTATAGCCATTTTAGTGGGTATGGAATGGGATGTCATTGTGGTTTTGATTTGATTTTCCTGGATGATTAAAGTTGTTGAACATCTTTACATGCACCTCTTGGCCATTAGTATATCTTCTTGTGAGAAATGGCTATTCAAATTCTTTGCCCATTTTTAATCGGTTTATTTTTTTATCATTGAGTTATGAGAGTTCTTTATATAAACTGGATGCAGACTGTTGTCAGATACATAATTTATAAATATTTTTTCCTATTCTGTGGATTATCTTTTCACCTTCTTGGTAATTTTTTTTTTTTTTAAGATTTTATATGCCCATTTGAGAGCTCAAGAGAGAGCTAAAGAGAGAGCACAAGTGGTGGGGAGGGGCAGAGAGAGAGGGAGAAGCAGACTCCCCGTCAAGCAGGCAGCCTGTCATGGGGCTTGATCCCAAGACCCTGAGATCATGACCCGAGCCGAAGGCAGACACTTAACCAACTGAGCCACCCAGGTGCCTCTTGGTAATGTTTTTTGAAGCACAAAAATTATAATTTTATTGATGTCCAATTTATCTTTTCTTTAGTTGCTCATGCTTTAAGTGTCATACCTATGAACCATTGCCTAATCCAAAATCTTGATTCAACCTTGTGTTTTCTTCAAAGTCACAATTTTTGTCTTAAAGTCTCTTTTACTTGATATTAATATAGGCCTTTCTAGCTGTCTTTTGGTGACGTGTTGAGCAGAACACTAGGCACAAGTTACCGATGCTGGGGAAGACTGACCATGTTGGAGATAGCAAACACCGTCACTATACCAGCCTGTAGGAATAGAAGTTTAAAT